TTCTTCTTCTTCTTCTTCTTGTCCACCGAACCAGTCGACGCTGCTAGCGACTGGGATTTCAAGTCAACGGGAACTATCGCTCAACTCGCAAGTTGCGAAACGGTGCAAATACAACGATGATCTGTCCGATTGCGATCGATTGGAATACGATACACCGGCGCGACGGATCGATCCAATTAACATTTGCCATCAGAACGTACGGGCAAGTTGATTTTCGTTAATCCGATGCACCGTTTGCACTTTGCAATCGGATGTACAGCCGTCATAACGTACAAACCCAATTTCGGAGTACGGAACTGGGACGAGCACGCGCGGCCGCGCACCACACGGAAGATCAATCGTAAAATTTGCAAGTGAAATGAATGTAAGAGCATGCATGGAAAACGTATTTTAAAGGCGTATCATTTTTAACACCTTGATTCTTCCTTGTCAGCCGCTACTTCTTCTCTACGTTATTCAAACGTAGTTTTTACGTTTGCCGTGCGATCAAAACTAGTGGTAACTATACGTTCCATCAATGTTCAGCTTTCGTTGAAATGCAAAGGTAGTGTCAGATTGTCCCATCAATGAGTTTCGTAACTTCGTTCGTCGTGATCCTCTAATTTCTTGAAATCACACCAATTACAGTTGTCAAACGTAGGGAAACAAGTTACAACACAGGCGTACGAACTACTGATCTGCTCGAATTCTCTTCGTAGCATATTCACGGCAAGACCAAGAAGTCAAATAAAACCATGATTGTCTTTAACTCTCTATCTCGAATCAATAGTTGGATAGCTCGAGTACAAGCCGCCGGGAATAGACTTTTGCCAAGTGTATGACAAGTTTTTATGAAGTACGAGCGAAGAACCAACTACGAGGTGAAAAACATTTTCATCTTTGACATCCAAATTGTGCGTCGGAGAGAACGTAATAATGTTGTTCTTTCGTCAATCGTCTGTAGAGCTATATGCTGTGAGAAACATACATAAATCTCGGCGGACCCTTGCGTTGAAATTAGCGGTAATACTTCTGCTCCAATATATCGCTTGTCTTTGACTCGCTGTTCAACAACGCCACGTTTCATTCAAGTTGAATATAAACACCAGCGAAGAAGAATACTTGCAGGTACAAAGATTTCACGATTACAAAATTTTGTAATCTATGCATGCTTGCAATGTCAGCGATACACATTAATAAACGCAGAATATCAAGACAAGCAGGCTACGAAGGAAGGAAACGAACACCGAACAGTTCGCCGAAAACGGCATAACTCTCGATTTCGTCAAGTTATATGCCAAACAGGAAATGCGGTACATTAATTTCATTCGTGGCCGAGATGAAAATAGCGTGGCTGAAGGACGGGAGTATAACAAAGGCATGTTAGAGAACACCGTTAATATTATACCCGTGTCGTGTGTCACGTTATCGGGCAACGTACATGTTATCATAATAATGTCGGCCAGGTTAGAATGCTTTGTCGAGTGTTATATGGGTAACTGTGGGCAATATTGATATCGCATCATTTCGTGGCACGGAGACGCGCGTTCAAAGGCTGGGCGGGATTTGTAATGCATGGAACGGGCCGGCAGCCATACTCCGGATCTCCTTCGTTGAAATTCAATTCTCGTAAACTTACCGTGCTGCAATTGAAACGCAATATAACCGTCAGACTGATAAATGTGGATAAGCTTCTCTCTCAACCCAATTTAGATCAGACATCTTTGGATTTCACCGAAACTTCCTTCATTGTGGAATACATAGACTGGATAGAGAGATTCGTTGCGTTCATTCAAGTGCTTGCTGTTTTGTCTGTTAAAATTTACAATGCGGTAAAATGTTCTTTCATTCTTTTCATTCTTACTTGACTCTTGCTGATCCTCGATACTTACACTTCGTTCGATATATAGAAGTTATAGATATAGAAGTTCTCTTCCTCTTGATAATCCATCTTAAGACACTTCATGATTGAAACACAGCGGGCACTTCGATTTAATTTCAAAAATTTTAATCGTGAATTTGAATTTGAAAAGTCGCTTCTCTCCTACCACGAATATGCCTGATGTCCTCGAAAGAATAAGTATCAGTTTGTTTGCAATCATGATGTTGATCGATGATCGTAGCGAAAACAGGATACATCATTATCGCTGATGGTTGAACAAAAATGTTTCAATCTTCTAATTAACCTCGCTTTGTACAATGGCACGGGTATATTTTATTTCGAGTCCCAAGTATACATACATAATTTTAACGTCTTTTAATTAACGCAAGTTATATGTACATATGTTTCAGATTCGAGGCCGTTCGCACAACAAAGAATGCGATTTAAATGAGGAAAAAGTCTGCACTGTTTTTCCTAAAAAAAAATGCAGTTTATTAAAGAATATCGTTTTACCACCATACTTTAAAAACGTTATGTCATATGTCGGACTGTTTCTGTTTTTAGACTAATTCTCTAGAACGATCCATTAAATTTCCCAACTTCTGCCAACTTTCATCAAAATTGACCAAAATTCGTGAGAATAGTTAATTTATTCCATTCTTTGACGAAAACCTTTTATTTATATATCGAAGTTATAATATGACAATTTTCGTTCGTGTTTTAATAGCAATACATATTGCGCTCAATTCCATATATATCTTTTAATTCCTGAAGTTTGTTACCTGCATTGTAATGGAAATTGAAATATTAATTCACGAATATTTAGCGCGATAGTTTAATTGTACAAAGCATTATCGTATCGATAGCGAAATAAATAAATAAATATACATTTTTCCAAATTTCTTTTCTCAAACGTTTTTATTATATCACCAAAACAAGAAATCGATACTTAAAAAGGCAATATATTTATACTGAAAAAAAGTAATATATTTATATCTTTCTTTTAAACTAAAAAAATACAATATCGAAGAAAAACTAAACTAAAGAATACACTTTCGGCTAGAATAGCTCAATAATCGCCTGGTAAATAAAATCTCTGGGGGTTCAAATATTGATCCGAGCAGCCGAATATTTTTTTTCCCCATAAAAATAAATAAAAACACAATATTTTTAAACGTATAATATACACGTATTGACTTTTATTCAAAATCCAAACGCATGCCGCTCTTCTTGCCACCTCCACTTCATAAAATATAAGTTATAAAATATAACTACTATCTTAGCTTAGAATAAAAGATTGAAGTAGGTAGAGAGAGGCACGAGTTCAGATTTTAAATTTTAAAGGCATATACCCATGCCGTTCGATTTTTACCGAAAACTATATTTACATATAAATTGAATAAATATTTTCG